AACCAATTGGAAAAAGTGTCCACAGTCTCCCAGGAAACTAACCCTGTATTTGCTTTATTAGCATTGCTTCACAATTTGCTAATTCCGTCACAGCTTCTTTGAAGACATAACTGCAAGGAATATGAGAATTCTATACGTGTTGGATTATTTTTCTATACCTTGCAATTGTAGTTCCACACTTTTATGTATTAGCCAAGACCTCAGAGGTTATAGAGAAGTAACAGTAAGTCCCTGACTCATGAATGGGTTCTGTTCTGCGAAAAGGTTTGTAAGTAGGATTGTTTGAAATCCAACTAAGTGAGTGTTACATAGTACACCTGTGAAAGTTTGCAACTCCAGTGTTTGTAAGTTGGGGACCTACAGTGTAGAGATGCTCCCCTTGGGGGGCATATTTTGGCAGAGAGCACAGTAGTGTACAATGGGACTGGCTGGGGCTGATTAGCGTGATATAATTTTGACCTGTGGGCTGAAATTCTATTCTTCTGTCGTCTTGCTACTATGTTTGGAATATAATTTACCTTACATAGAGCAACCTTCTTGGAATTTCGAATTCAAAAAGTGTTGTTTGATTTCCGTCTTTGTCAGTGGCTTGCTGAATGAACTGTGCACTGCTTTTCCAGCTACTTTATCATTGGATGTGGTGTGGAGAATGGATAGAGCTATGGAAATGCCACTATGAATTGAATGCATGGTACCTTTGCTCAACAGTGATTTGCAAAAATATAACTTTAAATGTTCTTGATGGGTTTACTGTTTTTGACTTAAAAAACATTCCTTTTAAGGACAAAAGCATTGCCCTTGTTGGCAAGTAGCTTAAGATCTACTAGACTAGGACAGTTACCTGGTGAGTTTAGTGAATATGTTATGTGCCATGAGCAATGTGTGAATAAGAAACAGGAGAGGAGGAAGAGGAAGAGCTGACTCAGTTCTTCCTGGGGAGAATACGAGGGATAGACATGGGTTTTGTAGAGATACAACTCTCTGGAATTGTGAGTCATATCAAGAGGGAGATGTGTTTCAGTTTGGAAAAAAATTTCATAGAGAACTCACTGGGGTTGTATCCACTGCAGAAAGCAGGGTAGGCTGATAATTTGTCATGAGTTAGGGAATGGCAATAGCTGGGTGAACTGGAACCAGGGAGGCATCACAACCTGATGCAGCCGTGTCTGACTTTTCTGCCAGTAGACATGACTTTGAATAAATCAGTGAATGTCTTTATTTTGTTGTTTTAAAAACTAAAAGAAAGAGTTAAAAAAGCAGACGGAAAAGGCTCCTAGAGAAGATGATGTTACTTGACCATTTATAGGTGGGAACTATTTCAGAGCCTAATAAATATGGGCCTGAGGACTGGCAAAGCCTTTGTGTACTGCGATTTATTCTTTCTTCCCTTATAGTAACGACTCCAGGTTTTTATGATTTTATTTGGAAAATTTTAGATAAAAATCACTTTATGTGGAGTATGTACAAGAGATTTTAACCTGGAGGCTATTTTTTCTGCATAACAGTAATATTTCTAATTGCTTAAAGTAGTTTTTACTGTGCAGTTAGTGAGTTGATTTAAAACAGTTTTTAATTTTACTTGCTATTACTATTCTGCTTGCTAAATTATTTCAGGGTTAAAAACATTATTATTTTTCATTAGTGGAATGTTTTTATTTTAAAACTCTTATGTGCATGTGTATTAATGACATTAAAATTATTTTAAATGTTGTATTTCATGAATAATTAATTAAATGGTCTTTCCTCAAATATTGAACTACTGTTCAGCTAATATTTTTGGTTAAAAACAAAAATTAATGATTTTATTTTATTTTATTTTTTTTTTGGTTTTTCTCCGGTACCGGGAACCGAACTCACGACCTTGCACTTGCCAGGCAGGCGCTTTGCCGCTGAGCTAAATCCCCAGCCCCCAAAAATTAATGATTAATATTAGATTGATCTAAGTTGCTCTTAGTAGGTTGATCAAACTAGTATTTTTGATGTCTCACTTAACCTTTTTGAGATGCTAAAGGACATGAGGAATGATTTTAGTATTTTTCATTTATACAGTGTGTATAAATACTGTATGTTTTTCATATAATGTATTGAGAAGAAATTTTTCCCTGGCTTGTTTTAGGAGAGCAGTCATACTAATGAAAATTCATGCCATGAACTTAATTTTTTTGCTGTTGTCATTTTTTGAGATAGGGTCTTGCTTATTCCAGGCTGGCCTTGAACTCTCAAACTTGTAGTCTTCCTTCCTCAGCCTCCCGGAGTGCTGGGATTATGGCAGATGCCACCCATACCCAGCTTATCGTGAATTTAATTTCATGTAATGATTGTTTTTTTTTTTAGAATGAAAGATAGTGGCAGAGTGATTAGGAATACTTCAATTCCAAAAATAGTGATATCTTTCAAAACTTACTAATAAATCTTTAATTTTGTAAGTCTTTAGTCTGCAGTCATTCTCTCACGTACTTATTTAATTATAGATTTTAACCTTTCGATCTAGTGATAGCAAAAGTGATTTCTCTTGGAACTGAGTACTGTGTTTAAAAAGTTTTCAAAAGTTTTCTTTTTTCATTTATTTTTGCATCCATCACAAGATACTTTTCTTATAAGTTCTCTGTTCTTAAGTTCTTGGTGTGAGAGTACCTTTAGTTCTCTAATTATTGAAAACATAATTGTAAAGATTTATATTGATATTCATTTCTCAACTGCATTAGAGGGATGAAAAGACCCTTCTAAATGGAAAGGAAACGTGGTATATTCAGATAATATTTGTGTTAAAAAATTGCTTCTCCTACTACTTTTTCTCCACTTAGACTTACTTTTTAAAAAAGACATTATCTGCACATAGGGAGCTATTACAGAAGGCTCCAGTGTCAAGGGATTTCCCGGGTGCTCTGATCCATATGCCCTGGCACTGTCTTTCGTAAGGCTCGCCTGCTTTGTGCAGCTGCCAAGTCCATGCATAATCGTCTTGACAAATGGCATACTCATTAATACTGGAATGGGCCTTTGCCAGCTGGTACAAGCTTTCTGCCCCAGGCAGTAAGCCCAGTGCCAGTTTCTTGTTGATGGCTATAAAGCATGGCTTACGTAGTGTTGAGACCAATGATGGATAAAGAAATTACCAGTTGAGCTAAAAGTTACTTACACATACGTTTATCTGCGCAAGCTAAGAGCACTTGGGAGCCGTAAGGGATTTCTGAGCTGTTGGCCCTCTTGTGTGCTGGAGCTGCGGTTTCCTGTGGGGCAGTTCCTCTTTGGTCACCTACATGCTCTGGAATCAATCAGAAAAACACATTGTGATGCCTTGTTAGAGAAAAGAGTTCATTCACTCCATGTTCTTTAAGGCTATTAAAATGCCCAGGGTAGAAGAAGTAAGGTCATTGCTACTTAGAGCTTTCAGTCATTCTAGGAATTAGGTACAATGAATTTTGTGAAAAATGCTAAATGAGTCTACTTGGAACTCAAGGAAAGGGTATGGAATGCTGTCAGTACAGTTGTGTGTCCAGATATTCTTCCAGAGATTTCATGCAAATGCACGTTAATGCCTTCCAAACACTCTGTCCTTTTGGCCTAATCATGTTTAAATGGTCCCACTTTGCAAATTGTTTTGTCTTGAACTCACTGGAAAGAACATTGTGGTATGAGGGCCATTTATTTGTTTATTAGTTCATTCATGGAGCGAGCAATTGTTTTGTGCAGGTACTTTATATGTCTGATCACGTATAGAAACAAAAAAATTAATGACTCTTGGCATGAAAAGGTTCTTTTTCTAGTGGAGATATAATGATATTCATAGGTGATTACTGCCTGGGTCAGCTGACTTGAAAAGTGTGAATATTATAAATGTGCAACTTATTTATATTGTTTTCAATCAAGCCAGCAGGCGTAAGTTTCCCTGGTGCCCAGTTGGTTCCAGATCGTGTCGATCCAGCATGTTCTGTCTTCTGTGCTTCCCAGCTGGCCTCTTGGTGATCTTATTCTTTGTGCACTGCACAAGGCCCCTCCGAGAATAACCCCAAACTGATTCTCCAAGATAGTTATCTAGAAATCAGTGCATGGTCTTGTCACTCACTGGTGATTGACTTTCTCTGCATGTGACCTTTTCATCTGTTATAGCCTCCTTCTCAGAAAGCAGCTCTGGCCAGGGTAACCAGGACCAAGGGCTGGGCACATGCTTTGATCTTTAAGACTTTTATCCTATTTCACTAAATTTCAACTATGCTCTTGGCTTCTCTGACTTATTTGGTTCAGGTAATGAAAACATTCTGTAGCCTGATCTTGTCAGTTCCTGTAAAAATAAAAATAGCATTGTTTCTCCTGAATTGAGAACATGCTCCTTCTAACATTTTTCTCTGTTATCTTAAATTACATTTCCCTTTTGATTAATGTCACCTATCACTTTGATGCTTGTTACTATTTTTCCACATAATTAAAATTCAAATACAGCTATTTCCATATCTTTGTTGATACCTCAGAGTTAAAGAAAATGCTGTTCATAGAAGGACTTGAAACCCTCAGATCATTCCCCAGTGCGTAGGTGCTAAGTGTGAAATGTGACGTCTTATGGGGAGAGCCCAGGAGAATGCAGGGCAGGTCGTTTGGGTTGACCTGCCAAGGACTCTGTATTTAATATTGGGAACTGTGAAGTGTTTCCCAGCAAAGGAGAGGAACGTCCACGCGTGTGTTTTACAAGGGCCTCCTGGCTGCCTAGTATGAGGTGGAAATGAGGGTAGAAAAGCTGAGGGAGGAGCCAGATAAGGGACCAATGGAGGATCTATCTGCAAGTCTAAAAAAATATGAAAAGCTGAAAAGTTTTCTTTTCTCATAAATGTAGGCCCAAACTTATTTAGGTATAGAATCTGAACTGTTTGGACCTGTTAATTGTTTCACTGCTTGTACTGGTCATGCTATTTCTGTTATTTTTGCTGTGGTTGGAGTGTGTGTGTGTGTGTGTGTGTGAGTTCAAAAATAATCACACCATCAAAATGTAAAAGAAGACAGACACAATCTGTGGAGAGCAATCAAAATGAGGACTAGAAAGATCTGTTATTATCATTAGTACAGAAATAGAGTTTTTTTCTAAAGCATTGATAGAAGTACATGAAAGCATACAAGAAAGGCAGCAGTAAAGTCACTGTTGAAGTCAACAGTCTCTTCATCGTGGGCTTCACAGGATCAGCAGAGCTACTCTGAGGGTGGCAGACCCGTCACAGGAAGTGACCTGGTGACCGTCTCCTGCGGGGTGGGGAAGGGTCAAGCAGATGAGAGGGCAGTGGCTTTGAGTCTAGGGGTGGGCTGGGTGCTGGCTGGGCTCACACCTTAGGCGCGAGGCTGCAGCAGGCTGTGCTCAGGGACCACTGGGCCCTCCTGGGAAGGGAAGGCCGGAGCCCCCGGCGGAGGCTGTGCCACAGTGTCCCGGTTAGCAAGCACGTGGAAAGCTAGGGAAGGCTGGATGGTGGGCCCATGTTCATCTTCCTCCTTCCAGAGCTGGATTCCTCTCGGCGCAGCTTCTGCCCAAGAGCCCGGGCCTGGGGACGAAGGTCCGGGTCGCTCCACTTGTGGTCACCGGCTGGAAGGCGGATGCCCTGGGCTCTGGGTCCGGCCTCCTTGTCTTGGGCTCTGGGACCTCGAACCAGAGCGGCCCATCAAACTTCCTCTTTCCTTTCGTGCACTGGGCAAGGGCCTGCAGCACCGTCTCCTTGGCACAGGGGTCTGGGCGCTCCTCGGGCGGCGGGCATTTGTACAGGCTCCCGGGGCGCACAGGGCCGTTGACCTGGACTCGCACCAGGCCCTGCAGCGCCGGGTCCCTGGCTGCGCACAGTCTGCGCTTCACGTAGTTGAGGCGAGCATAGGAAAGCTCCGGCCTGAGGAGCAGCCCGGAGGGCAGCCTGCAGGGAGCGGGGCTCTTGGCCAGGGTAGCCAAGGCCCTCTGGGCGCCGGCCTCGGCCCAGGCTGGCTGCAGCGTGCGGAAAGCAGGGCGCTTGGGCCTGGGCCTCCAGTGCCCACACTGCTGGGCAGGGGGCGGCAGCTCGGCCTTGGGCTTGCCCACGTCCCCGCTCAGGTACCTGCTCAGGTACAGGCCCATGAGGGCGGGGCTGCGGGGATGCGGAGGCGGCCAGGCGCACAAGCAGAGCAGGCGCACAGGGTTCGCGCGCCCCGTGACCGTTGGCTTGGAACGCAGGCGGAGCTCGAGGCGCCGGCCCTCAGGAAGCGGCGTCCTGCTCTGGCCATGCCCGCTCCCCGGGACACGAGGACGTCACCGTGCTGCCCCGTGCCTCCGGCAGAGAGCGGGAAGTCCCAGCCTCTGCCTTGTCCGGAGCCAGGCAGACACTTAGCTCGGGCGGGAAGGACCTCGCCAGAGCTCTAGCGTCGCACCTGGCATCGCAGTGGAGGACACGCGAGAATTTCTGCAGACGGCTGTTGACAGGAGGGTGTGCTCCTTCCTCAATGGAAAGATGAACATAATGTGCTTGGGTTTTCTTTTAAGGAAAAACAAAGAACTGATTTACTGTGTTCAGTGAAGTTGACTCTTATATCTTCCTTTTTAAAATTAGTTCATGTTTTTAGTACAGAATAGTAATGCGGGGTTTGGGGAACTGTTCGCACGTGTAACATATCTTGATTATTTTCTATCTCTTTACCCTCCTCTCTCCTTTTCCCCACTCTCCCTGGCCTCCTTCCCCATCCCCAAGTGTCTGCCTTCTAGTTTCCTATCATCTCTCCTTATTGGATTCATTTATTTACCGTTTAGGTTAGTAATGTAATTACATGTGGTATTTAACTTATGAGTTTGGCTTATTTTGCTAAGCATTCTGGTCTTAAATTCCACCTGTATTCCTGCAAATGACATGATATCTTTTTTCTTCATGGTGGAATGATATTTCATTGTGTATCTATATGTTTTTAATACATTTGTCTGTTGATAGGCACCCAGGCAGTTTCCAAAGCTTAACTGTTGTGAATGGTGTTGCTGTGAACATAGTCTGCATGTATGGTATCACTGCAGTTTAATGTCTTTACTTCTTTCAAGCATGTACCCAGGAGTTGCATGATGGTAGTATTTCTATATTTAGATTTATAAAAAATCTCCAGTTTGATTTCCATACTGATCTTTCTAGTTTACTGTCACCAACCATCTAGGATGGTTTTTTTTTCTTTTTTTTCTTTTTCTTTTTCTTTTTTTTTCCCACTCTCACATGCTTACTAGCATTCATAATTCATTGTATTCCTTTTTTTTTTTTCTTTTTTTCTTTTTGGTTCTGGGAATTGAACTCAGGACCTCACATTTGCCAGGCATGCCTTGTTCCACTGAGCTAAATCCCTGGAGTTTATTATATTCTTGATGATAGCCATTCTCACTGGGATAAAATGGATTCTTTTTTAGTTTATGTATTTTTTTATTTTATGGAAAAAAGTAAAATAATTTCATAACAAAATAATAGAATAGCAATAGTTAATACATTGAGTATTGTTATCATTAAATTAGTGAATCAGATATGGGCTTATAAAATCCTCTAAATGATATTAGCATAAATCTTTCTTTTCAGTGAAGTAAAAGAAATTAGTGGTATAACTATGTTGTATTTTGTTTTTTTCCTTTTCCCTTCCTTCCTTTCCCCTTTTCCCCATCCTAGTTCCTTTTTCCTTTTGAACAATTTCTTCCCATTTCAAAATATCTATTGTGCATTTTGGACTTTAATGTTATTTTTATTTGCATTTTGCTAATGATTAAAAATGGTGAACATTTTTCATGTGTTTATTGGCATTTGTACTTCTTTTGAGGAGAGTCTTTTCAGTTTATTTGCTCATTTTGTGACTGAGTCACTTGTTTATAGGAAGTAAGATTTTTTTGAGTTCTTTATAAATGCTTTTATTAGTTCTTAGTATGAAAAGTAATTAGGAAATTTTTTCTCTCATTCTTTAAGTTATCTCTTTACTCGTGATTGTTTTATTTGCAGTGCAGATCATTTTTAATTTGGTGTAATAGTATTTGTTTCTTCTGGATATTACTTCCTGTGCTATTGGAATTATTCAGGAAAGTCTTTGTCTGTGCTTGTGGCTTCACTTCTCTCCCTTAGGTGATCTATTAGAAGTTTCAAAATTTGTGCTTTTAAAGTAGGTCTTTGATCCATTTTGATTTGACTTTAGTGCAGTGTGAGAGATAGTTATCTAGTTTGTATCTTCTATAAGTAGATTTCCAGTTTTCCAGCACTATTTTTAGAGAGGCTTTATTTTGGGAACTTTTAAAAAAATCTGATGTCTGTATGTGAATGAGGTTGTTTCTGTGTCTTCTGTTCTATTATATTGGTTCAGGTATCTGCTTTTGTGCCAGTATCCTGTAGTTTTGTTAATGCATCTTTGTAGTACAACTTGAAATCCGGTATTATATGTGCAGCTTTGCTGTTTGTACAGGATTGCTTAAGAAATGGAGTTGTTATAAACCTGGGTGTGATGTGTCTCATGTACCTTGTATATCCGGGAACTCTATCATATATGTACAACCTAGAGAAATAGAAAGATAAGTTGTGGAATTTTTACAGTGTCGTTGATGACTAAGAACTACTGAAAAGTAAGAAAACATTGCATAGCCAAAAAAGGTAAAGATGTTGACTGTACATTAACAGAAACAAGCCATTAGTGAAGAACTTAATGTGTGCCAATGAATAGCTTCGTGGTTATCAAATAGGTTAGAATATATTATATAGAAGTTGACTGCAGACATTTAACAAGGTTCATGGATAATATATCTAAAAGTCCCTGCTCATCAGCAGCTAGGTAAAAATCTCATAGATGAATTTGCTATGAAAATATTCATTGAAAGTCTCAGTCCTGAATAAATTCTCTTTGTTGATGAAATAGCATTGTACTGATACTACTAGGTTTTTAGAAAATGTTCATAGTGACTGATAAAAAGGTACCAATTAGTTTTAAGGTTGCTAAGCATAGAGTGACTGTTCTTAGATATGGTCTGTAGGCATCCTGAAGATAACTCTGGTAGAGAATGCCCTCCACCACCCCCAATAAACCAAGGAACCCTATTTCAAGATGCTTAAAAGGGGTATACAATTTATTTAGGCTCTATTATTTATGTAAGAAAAGATAGATGGCTGGAAATATATTTCTTGACTATCTTAGTTATTTTCTTGTTATTGGACAAAATACCCAACACCAACAGGTTAAAGGAGGAGGAGTTTATCTTGGCTCACAGTTTGTAGAAATTTCAGTCCATTTTGGCTGGCTCCAAGGCAGGGTGGCATGGCAGAGGGCCATTGCAAAGAACAAACAGTCCATGGTAGGGCAGGCAGGAGGTAGTTGAGCCTTCCTTCTTTTCCTTTTTATTCCATCAAGGCTGCAGGCCTATTGGTTGGTGGCACCCATACCCAAGGTGGTTTCCTTCATCAGTGAATTCATCACCCATATCCAGAAGTATGGTAAACTGACCAGTGGAATAATCTACTATCACACAACCCATGATCCAGTATTACACACTCATGATCCAGTCACTCCCCAAACCCCTACCTATGAGTGCATGAGCCTTTGGGCAGAAATCTAGATACAAACCATAACATTGACCAGTTGAATATTACTTCTTACCAGCAACACATGCTGGCTAAAGATAAGCTGGACTAGAAGAAATATAACATCTGTTATTCTTAGGCAGCAGTTGCACTAGGCAACTGGTCTAAACAGTCTGCTTTTCATCCTCTTGAGAAAAGTAATGTTTTTAAGTATTTGGTTTTGCAACATTGTGACATCTTTAGTGCAGCCTGGTGGCCAAGCAGTTTCATGCCCCTAAACCAGTATTCACACACATTAAAAAAAAGGGTGGGGAGGGGCTGGGGATTTAGCTCAGTGGCACAGCGCCTGCCTGGCAAGCGCAAGGTCGTGAGTTCGATTCCCAGTACCGGAAAAAAACCAAAAACAACAACAACAATGACAGCAACAACACCATATACTTCCTATAGTTAATAGATTTTCAGAGTTTCAAGGCCTTTGGAAAGAACACAACCTTTAAAATACTTTTTATGCAATTACTGATACTTCAAATGAGGCTGCTAACTCAACATTAATTAATGCTTAATACCGATGTTGGGCTAGCATGATGTTTGAAAGTAAACCTAAAAATAGACACTGAAGTGGTTCATGTCTCTAATGAAAAGTATCATGCTTCTGTATATATGCCAAAAGTTGATAAACCAAAACAGTAATTTGGATAAATGCTGAACTTTATGAAGGGTGAGGAAACTGCTGGAATGGTATTAAATACAATAACTTGGAGGGAATTGATGATAATGATGATGGTCATGTCATGAACACAGGAGAAAAATACCCTCAAGCTGTATAGTGAAAACTGTGCCATCATCAAGACTAACCCTGAACTATGTGCAGTGGTGGCAGTGAGGAAGAGGCTACTCGGTTCAGGGGAGGCTGCTTGGACAGACAGAACAGGGAGGCTGGATAAGCCTTTGAAAAGGCCATCTGTGCTAGGCCTGGCCTGTCACTTGGGGATGTCATAGTGAGCCAGTCATTAGATGCCCTGGTCCACGCTGGTGACTACCACTGAGCTGGCAGCACTGATGCACCAGCCTCTTTAAGTTCCTGGAGCCTCTTAAGTCCCTTAAGTGCCTCTTTAAGTTCCCTGAGTTCCCCTCAACTCATGCCATGAGCTGCGTGCATAGCATAGGTACTAGTTTAGTGTGAACTAAGCTTTAATGATTAACTTCCTTAGAAATAAGAAATACTTTCTTCTGACTAAAATGCAGCCTAGCATGTTAGCTCTAACATGTGTTTAAGATTTTTTTTTTTGGTACTGGGAATTGAACTCATGACCTTGCCAGGCAGGTGCTGCACCATTGAACTATATCCGCGGTCCAAGATTTCTTTTACGGTTATAACTGAGAACCATATAATTGGTATAGTATCAAGTATTACCAGTTTCCTAGAATGTGTAAATGTTTAGGAAAATAGCAGTGAGTGATTGACATTGTGCTTATGACAGTTAATTTATAACAAGAGAAAGAAAATTGCAAAGGCAAAGAAGTTTTGTATACCAAACATTCTACCTGCATTCTTATAAAAAATTATTGCTTAGCTGGTCACTGAATACAATTAATTAAATTACCTCTGGCAGCATTATATTTATAGTGGCATTTATTCTTGATATAATTATAACTGGGTTTAATACAGGCCATTAAAATATCTAGAGCTCATCTAAACAGATATTTTAAAATAACTTTTTCTTATAATGACTTTTTCAGTTTTTCAAAATATAATACATGTCTATTTAGAAAATTTAGATCAAAGTATAAAGTATAAAATTATAAAGGTTAGTTGCTACTAAATTTTTTGCATAGCTCTTATGTTTTTTTAATATGGTATACATGTGTTTGTATATACTCATAGCAATTATACAATTTTATATCTTATTTATCACATTATATGTAGGTAGTTATATTGACATATCACTTTACAGGTATGTAGTGCTAGTATTAAAACTCTTTGCAACCTTTATATTCAATGACTGCATAAGATTTTATCAAATTATTCTGATTTTCTTAATTATTCTCTTGTTTGGGGATGTTTTCTTATCTATAATTTTTTACTTTTGTAAATAGTGCTGAAATGGCACTTATAAATTTAACTTGCAGTAGTCAGCTCTCCATGGCTGTGACCGAATACCTGATATTACCACCTTAAAGGAGGGAAGAGTTATTTTGGCTCGTGATTTTGAGGCTTCAGTCCATGGCACCTGGCTCCCAGGCAGAAACATGATGGTGGAAAGCTGCTCACCTCATGGCAGCCTTGTGGAAGCAGAGTGAATGGAAAAGAGCCAGAGAGGAAGGGGCCTGGAACCAGGTTCACTTTTCAAGGGCGCTAGTGACCTGCTTCCTCCAGCTGGGCCCTGCCTTTCAGTAGCTCATTACGCTGTGAACTTCGCAGTGGATTAATCCTCATGATCCAGTGACCTCTCTAGGCTCCACCTCTGACGGTTGCTTCTTAGGGATTAAGCTATGAATACATGAGTCTGTGGTTCTACTTCATATGTAAACCATAACAATTTCAGTCTTCATGTACATTCTTTCTTTACCGTAAGTTCTGAGAAGCATCATTATCCTGTCAAAGCATATGAACACTTTTAAGTCTTTTGATAGTTCTGAATTGCTCTTAGGAAACATTATCACCAGTAATATAAGAAACTGCCTATTTATAGACATTTACTTTGCTTTCATGCTGGTCAGAAAGAACAAAAGCATATTCTTAATTTGCTCTTTTTTGGGTAAAAGTTAATGGGAGTTGGCCATTTCCTCACCACTATTTTGTAGAGTAAAATGTGTGTGTGTTGACTGAGCCCAACTTCATTTTTTTCTCAGTAGATGCCGTTTAAGTACTGCATCTGGGGTTATCGGATGTGTTTGATCATTGTTGTGTGGTGTTGACCATATGTGGCCTTTGTCATTAAGCTAACTGGCCCTTAGAGAACTTTTGGCCCAGTGGTGTTCATGCACTACCTAGTGTTTCTTTTACACAGACGAATGAGGGAGCCTGAGAGGACTGTTCAAACACCTATGAAATTCCTTCATTCTACAACAAACATTTATTCACTGTTTTACTACTTCTAGTCACTGTGTTAGATTTATAGTGGTAAAGAAAGTTGACAGCATTCTCGATGTGGCCAAGCCCCAAACCAAAAAGAGAATCCAGGCATAATACATGACTATATAACGGATGGATCGGATACCTTTAGAAATGTTACTTCTTAAGGCAGCCTTGCAGAGAAGTGGACTTGACTACCATGCCCACTCTTTGGACATCTCAGCAGCTTACTCCCAGTAGCAATGATTAATAATAAATAATTTCTGTCACTTACAGAGTGCCCATTTTGTGCCTTCTAGATACTATGTTATGTCCTTTACATTCACTTTTAAAAATATTCCTTTCACCAGTGCAGGAGGTATCTTTTCATTTTGATGGGGTGCCTCTGTGGGAACCGACAAGTGGGTTGCATGTGTGGGGAACTAGAAACTGACAGGGAGAAGCAGAGCTGGTAACCACGAATAACTGCCTAAAAGCACCCTTTCTGGAACAATCCTGAACTTTGTATAACAGCATTGTCTTTGGAAGGAAAAAATACTTGCTTGTGTCTTGCCATGGATGCTGAATTGGGAACTAACAACCTAACAGCATGGTTTTGTACTAAGATGTATAAGACTGCATATGCATATTTAAAATTCATATTCACTGCAGTGACAAGTTGCTGAATAATGTAGATGGGAAGACAGATTTCAGGTGAAGCTCAGTCAAAGCCACTTTTGATGCAATTCTGACAAAATAATACCACGAATGAGTAAGTCCAGAGTTCTTTGAGTATCTGAGAATTTTCCCCATGATAGTCTTAGGTGAAGGTCTTGGAGACCTTCCAGCAAGTACAGTATTCCAGCAAGCACAATCTTTAATTTGGAGTTAGGTATTCTACTTTCCTGTTTTGAATCCAGTAAACTGTGCTGCCCATTTACATGCTAATGTGCGTTCTTTGGGGAAATATAATGTCTCCTAGTGCAGCTTCTTACCCTGAAATTATGTGTTTTCTTGATATGATTGCATGGCCTTTGAAATAAGTAGTGCTGTAGTTGTATGTGTTAAAGTAGCTTAATAGCTTCAGATTCCAAACTTCAGAAGATTTGAGTGAGTTAAGTTTATGAACTGAAATTATTTATGAACATTCAGATATGACTCTCTCATTACTGAGCTCCCTGAGGGAATTTAAAACTGGCTTCTGTGGGACTGGGGAAAGAACCCTGGGTTAGTGCTCCAGAATCTTTTGCTATTGTCTTACTTTTGCTGTTAGCATGAACAGATTTTGTTCAGCTGTGTGTGCATCTTTATCACCTCATCTGAGTGGTGAATGGTTGACCGCTGAGCTGACTTTTGGCTAGGAAATTTGGTGGTGTTATTAGACTCCAGGCACTTTTCCTTCCTTCTCCCCTCACCCCTCCTTTTTCCCCTCCTCTTCTTCCTCTTCCTCCCTTTCTTCTTCTCTGTTCCTCCTCCTCTCTCCCCTTCCCTTTCCGGTCTTTTTCCTCTTCCTCCTTCTCCTTCTGCTTCAATTTTTTCATTTTAATCTGGGTTAGTACTCTGTCTTCTGGCAGCGCTGTGTCCCTTCTCCAATAAATTCAGTCTCATGCCCGTTTTATTGTGGGGGTAGTAGAAATATGCTCTTTTACAAAACAAAAATGTATTTGATGGATGGTACAAAGGTATCAAGTTTAAATGATATGACCAGGTTAAAGGATGGAGAAGATTAGCGTACATAAAAATAGTTTCAGTTGTCCGTTAGTATAGTTTATCACTTGGTGTAACATTTCCTTAACTGTTCCATTTCTTTTTCTTTTTTGGTGCCGGAAATCAAACTCAGGACCTTGCTCTTGCCAGGAAGGCACTGTGCCACTGAGCTATATCCCCAGCCCTCCATTTATTTTTAAATATTATTAAATAAAGGTCATAACTACCGAAAGTGGTATCCTTTATTCAAGATATTGAAAAAACATTTTTAATGTCCTTTTGTCATCTTTTGAAATAATTCAGAAGCCAGAAGTCATACTCTGTCCAAGGTAAGCTGAACTTTGTAGTTATAGGACAGAAGGCAGAGACAGGAAGCATGGCTATTTAACATACTTTTTCTTCTATCCTCAGAGGCTTGTATGTGATCATATGCTTTGTCTAATTTTTGAGACCCTGATTAGGCTCTAACTAAGTGGACCTAAGCTTTCAGGGGATCCTTCTAAAGTTTTCTGGCCCTAGGACCTCTAATGCTGAGTGTTCTTTATATGCGCATGGGAAATAGCACAGTGAAACCTATTAATTGATATAATTAATGAACATTAATAAAAAAGTGCTATTTTTGTTGTAGAAAATAGTAAAAGTAAAAGAAATTATCATCTTAAAGTTTCATCGTACATTAGGAGTTTAGAACATGGCAGCATAGTGAAGGACTTTTCTAAAAGCTCAGAATCTAAATGATGAGAGAAGTAGAACCAGAAATTAGGAATCTAAATGTGACTTTCAAGATACTTCGGATTTTGTGCATTAACAGAGTAGCACAGGCTGGGTAATTTATAAAGAAAAGAAGTTCATTTCTCACAGTTTCAATTCTGGAAGGGCTAAGATCCAGATGCTGGCATCTGGCAAAGGGCTTCCTCCTGCACCACCGATGGTGGATGGAGAGGATAGGGTGGATCCAAGCTTATCCTTTTATTAGGAGACCACAGCTAATCCACTCTTCACATGGAGTGGATCCCTCAAGAGCTAATCACCTCTTTAAGTCCTACCTTTTATACTGTTGTGATGGAAATTATATTTCAAGGAGTTTTGGAGGGGGCATTTGAGCCATAGCAGCCTCTGTTAGCAGATTTTCTAATTGATTTTCCTGCGGTGTGGTGGTGATGCTGGGGACACATCCATGTTGGTAGGAAAGGTAGAGCTGGTGGGAAACAGGACTCACTTGCTGTCCCAGAGCGAAGCCTCACTTGTGCTTTGCATGTGTGCTCTTTCCAGAACCTGCGAGCAGAGGTCTCCACGATGGTTTGTTCAGCGCTCCAGAGAGTTGCCTGTGCACACCTTTGCCTGGTGAGGAGGGCCAGTCATGTCTGCAGAAGCCACCAGCATCGGGCGCGGGGCTCAAGGCCAGCTGCGTCAGACTTGGCTGCTCGTGGACCTCCGGGCAGCCCTCTAGAGCTGCTGGGCAAATCCTACCTTCAGGATGACCACACCAACCTCACCCAGAAAGTCCTGTCCAAGGTTGGCAGGAATCTGCACAACCAGCAGCACCACCCTCTGTGGCTAATCAAGGAGAGGGTGAAGGAGCATTTCTATAAGCACTATGTGGGCCGCTTTGGGACGCCGCTGTTCTCCGTCTATGAAGACCTTTCTCCTGTGGTCACGACCTGGCAGAACTTTGATAGCTTGCTCATCCCAGCTGACCATCCCAGCAGGAAGAAGGGGGACAACTATTACCTGAACCGGACTCACATGCTGAGGGCACACACATCCGCGCACCAGTGGGACTTGATGCACGCGGGGCTGGACGCCTTCCTGGTGGTGGGTGACGTCTACCGGCGTGACCAGATCGACTGCCAGCACTACCCAGTTTTTCACCAGCTTGAGGGTGTCCGGCTGTTCTCCAAGCATGAGGTGGGTCTTGACACACTTCTTATTATTGTAGCACATCATGGACATTGTGTTTTCAAAACCAGTAGAGTTGTCCTTATCTGATTTTGATTTCATGAGTCATCTATGTTCAGTGATGGCTGTGTACACCCTTTCTCGTCAATATATTTGACTGATTGTGTTAGTAAGTAGACGCATTGGGAGATCTTTGTGTTTACTTACAGTTCTTATCCTTCATTCCTGACCAGCCTTTCTCTGGACTGCTTGTGAATGGTTAGTCTACGGATCAAATTCACCCTTCATCTAGTTGACTAAAAGTACAACACGGAAACGTGTGCTCAGGTTCTTCCAGTTCTCAGTTAGTAAAAGTTAATTATGTTTTCATGCGATTAGAGGTTAATGAACCTGTTCTCTACCTGAGGGGACTAGAGCTGTGTGGGCTTGGATTGTAAACGATCTTCTTCTTCCTGAGCTATCTCTCTGTTTTCTCCTACTTTGTATGATGATGTGGAGTGCCTTAGTGCCTCAGTTCTCGACATGTGTGTTTGACTGGGCTTAAATTTGCAAGCCTTCTGCCTCAGCATCCAGAGTGCCGGGGTTATAGGCATATACCACCATAACTGCAGAGTTTGTATTTGGATGCCTGCAATCTTCTTGATCAGAAAGTCGGGTATTTTGGCCAGTATTTAAAACACCTAACCCTTGCGTTTGTTATATTATGTCAATGCATTGCATACATTTTTTTTTTTTTTGCAAACTATGAAAATCCTTACAGAGCTTGAGTTAGTTTTCTAAAACATTTGTAACATCACTTGCTCCTCTTTCATATACTGTATTGTAAAACTCATCTCCATTTTTATTGAAAAAAATTGAATTAAGGTACTCTCAGGACGTCTTTGATTTATTCCTATAGCAATCCTCCTTCCAAACTTTGTTCACTGGGACAGGAGGAGTAAGTATGGTCACAAAACTCCCTCCCGTAAACACAAAATAAATGGGCTGATACTATGAAAACAAATAGTACAGGATCCTTAGGCTAATAAATAGCCATTGGTATGTTCTATAAAATAAGTCACTTGGTAGGAGGCAACTGAGTGGGACTGTGCCTCATGTCCCCTTTTCTTTCTGTTACCTCAGGATGTGTTATTCTGTGAATCAAAGGTTGCTGTAAGCTGGATCTCAGGGGAGATTAAGTGCATAATTTTACTGCTTGAAATAGCTGACTGCTTTCTAAGTTCGGAATAATAACTGTTGATAAGGATAGGGGTGTATTGGAAACTAAATGGGAACGAAGAGACAGGTTGGAGTCTGGGAAACACAAAGTGTTGGAATGCCACTTACACTTAATCTCTAAGCAAGCAGGGATGCCAGTAAAATGACATCCACATCAGGGCACCGGACAGGTACTCAGTCCAGCTTCCCTCATTAAAGAAATAGAAAGTGAAATCGCACACTGACGTGTATGCCTGCATGCCATGAAGAAGGCAGTGAAGGTTGTGAGACCCATAGCATTGTAACAGAGGCAAAATCCAGGCTCCCACAGAAGGTGGAAAGTAGCAAGTGCGCAGAAAATTAGCCTTCACCTTGGTTCATATTTGTTTTGTATTCAGTGCAACTTAGCAGGTAGCACACATGGCTATTCTAGTCTGATGTTTTGCTTTATAGTTAAAAATGTATGTACACACATGTATGCATCGGATCTCCTTATAGGTTGATAAGATGCATCCACATATATTATTTCATTTATATCTCTTAACAAAAACCTTGTGAGATAGAATATTTCCACTTGAACTGAAGATCTGGAAAGGTTCAATAACCTGCCCAAGGTCACCCGACCTGTCCATGGCAGTGTGAGAACCAGAACCCAGGTCTTCTGAGTTTGTTGCCAGCTGTATTGTATTCTGTACATTTCCACAACCCTGCTTTGTAAGTGGCACCTGTTGCTGACCCAAGGGAAGCTTTTGCTTCAAGAATAGTGAATGAGAAGAAGAAGAAGGATGATGCGTTCCGAATTTCTGCTCTCAACTGAAGTGTTTTTACTAAGTCTGATCTAATCTTAACCTACACAGAAATGATTTTTCCTTTTGTGTGTGTGTGTGTGTGTGTGCATGCACGTGTGGTGTTGGGGATTGTACCTATGGCCTTTACACTGAGCCACATCCCTAGACCTTTTTATTATTTTAAGGCAGGGTCTAATTAAGTTGCTAAGTTGCACAGGCTGGGCTCAAACTTACACTCCTCCCTGAGCCTCCCATGGTGGTGGAATTGAAGGTGTATGCCCTCATTTCTGGCTCCTCCTTTATTTTCCTACAAATAGTATTTTTAGATAGGTGTAATCATGCTATTAATATGTAATTTAAAAAAATTATATGATCTGTTAAAGTTTTCATGTCTATCTTTGTGATCATTATTTTAATTGTCATAGAACATTGCATTAAGAAGAAATGTAGTTATAGAGTTACAGGGTAAAAGAAACAGTGATAAGCATTGAAATAGATGTACTATGACAATATATTTGTTCAACTATTAATTGGAGGAAAAACATTTTGTCTTTGATAAACAACTGACTAGTTGGAGGAAGCAGTCACTAGGTAAAGTCTGCTAAGGTTCTTATTTTTAGGGAAGGGATAGAAACACTGAATAAACCAGAATTTGTTGGAAAAAGACTGTAGCACAAAATGCACCTTCCACACTACTAGGTTCAACAGGAGGAATGTAGAAATTGATGTCAGTTTAACAGACATAAGGAAAATGGGAAGAAAACAAGTTATGGTGAATAGACATAAGTCATAGTTTATATTGATATTCCTAAGTTAAGTGGGTTAAATTTAATAATAAAAGAAACTCATTATCAGATTGGACATTTACAGAAACCTGAAACGAAAGCAAACCAGAGATTGAAAATAAAGGTCAGGAGGGGTTATATCCAGCAAATAGGAAAAGACAAGCTGGTCTGGCAATATTAACATTAGATAGTATAGAATTTATAGAAAAGACAGTTACTAGGAATAAGGACTATAAAACACTAACAAAGAAGCTTTCTGAATTATTAGCTTTTCTGTACCCATTATTATAACTTTAATACATAAAACAAAACAAAAAAATAACAAGTTGAGTTTGACAAATTCAAGATCATGATAGAAGATAATCAATCAAAAAATCAACCAAATAAAGCAAACAAATGAGTAATGGTGTAGGAAATCTGAAAAACAGGACTAGCTTGAACTATATTTATTTTAAACTCTATATGTGGGGGCTGGGGATTTAGCTCAGCAGCACAGTGCCTGCCTGGCAAGCGCAAGGTCATGAGTTTGATTCCTGGTACTGGAAAAAAGCTAAAAAAAAAAAACCCCAAAAAACTCTATATGTGTATGGATTTGTGTGTGTAGTATTTCTGTACTCAAGTCAGAGGTATATAGTCACAAGGAATATTTATAAAATAAACTGTCTATTCTTTTTTTTTTTTTTTTGTTTTGTTTTCTGGTACTGGGGATCGAACTCATGACCTTGCACTTGCTGGGCAGGC